CAGAAATCATGTTTGCTTGCTTTCGATGCTTCCTTTTTTTTTGAGTTGAGGTCTATCTCTGTCACCAGGCTAGAGGGCAGTGGCATGATCATGGCTCATCACAGTCTGGACCTCTTGGGTTCAAGAGATCCTTCTGCCTTAGCCTCTTGAGTAGCTGGGACTACAGGTGTGCACCACCATGCCTAGTTAATTTTTTTTGATTTTTGTAGAGGCGTGGTCTCACTATGTTGCCCAGGCTGGTCTCGAACTCCTGGGCTCAAGCAATTCTCCTGCCTCAGCCTCCCAAAGTGCTGGGATTACAGGCACACGCCACTGTGCCCAGTTTGCTTTCCACACTTCTATACAAGAATCAGAAGACTCACCGGAGTGTAAGCGAGGAAGAAGAGTGCTGTGGCTGGACGTTCCATCAGCCACTAACGGGGTGGGGATACCCCTCTGAATCCACCCTGGGGGCAGTGTCTGGGTGGCCCGCAGAGACCGGATGACAGGTGGTACGGGGGTTCTCTGCTCAGTCACTGTGGGCAGGATACCAGCTCGAAGGCCCAGAGCTGTCCACATCCCTGAGCCCGCTCTCCCTCCTAAAGCAGCAGGAGCCAGTGGGTCCAGTGGGGTCCTTCTGGGGCTTCACTTGATTGAAGCACAAGGCTTTTGAGGGCCCCTCCACCAGCCTTGTCTCCAGAGCCCTGATGTTCATCTCACCAGGGTCCAAAGGAACTGAAGCCTGTATGGCCAAGGCACGGCTCCAAGAAGGGAGGCAGACATGACTCCCCCAAGGTCAAAAACTCCAGCCACCGCCCCGACCCCACAGGAGGCAGCATCCGAGGGGACAGCAGGCTCCTGTGCCCTTCCTGAGGTCTCCCCAGCTCACCCGGGGGCTCAGGGCAGGGGTCCCAGATACCACCTCCTCACATTAAGTGGGCCCACTCCATTAGGGACTGCTTCCTTCCAAGCAAACCAAAGCCACTTGAAAGCCTTAAGAAAACGCCAAAGCCAAACGACTTTGATACACTCAGATATGACAGGGCTCAGGGGAACCCTCTGGTTTTCAGAAAACTTCTGTTCCCTACGACATGTTTTCTTATTCATTTTAACCACATCAAGAAATCCCCCCAAGACATTCCACTTTCTCAGCGAGGAAGTTACAAAAGAGAACGGGAAAGGGCTCGTTTTCACAAGTAAGATGAAATGCTTTAATGTTTTATTCATGCAAAGTGAAAGCCCCTTTCCTTGGCGGCATTACAAATTGAATTTGCTCTTGTAAATTGCTGTTAAAAAAAAAAAAAGAAATCAAAAGCAAAGGAAATTAAAAAAAATAGAAAAAAATTTAAAAAAAGCAAAAGTACAAAGGCCCCTTTTTCCAGAGAATGAGAACCTGGGGCCGATGGGGAGAAACAGAACTATTCCCCACAAACAGATTTTAAAATTTCCTGCTTCCAAAAGTGCCTCTCTGGTGGAAGCCTCCCACCACCCCACAGTCTCCCTGACAGCCTGTGTGAACCCCTGAGTGCATTTCTAAATTACACTAATCTGCTAACATTCAGTGAGAATAAAAAATGATTGACTGATTGATTTACATTTTAATAGGACTTAGAGTACAGAAATAAAGAATGACAGTTTTTTTTTGGGGGGGGCGGTTTGAGACAAGGTCTCACTGTTGTAGGGGCCGGAGTGCAGTGGCACGATCACAGCTCATGGCAGCCTCCAACTCCTGGGCTCAAGCGATCCTCCTGACCCAGCCTCCCAAGTGGCTGGGACTACAGGCACGTGCTGCCATGCCTGGTTAATTTTTTTATTTTTTATTCTGTAGACACGAGATCTTGCTTTGCTGCCCTGGCTGGTGTCAAACTCCTAGTTTCAAGCGATCCTCCTGCCTCAGCCTCTCCCAATGTGCTGGGATTATAGGTGTGTGCCACCGCGTCCAGTTAAGAAGTGATTTAAAAAGATGAGTAAGCCGGGCTCAGTGGCTCAGACTGTAATCCCACACCTTTGGGAGGCTGAGGTGAGTGGATTGCCTAAACCCGCGGGTTCGAGATGCGCCTGGGCAGCGAGACCTCATCTCTACAATAAATCAAAAAATCAGCCGGGCGTGGTAGTGCATGCCTGTAATTCTGGCTACTTGGAAGGCTGAGGCAGAAGGATTGCCGGAGCCCAGCAGGTTGAGGCTGTGGTGACTGGGAGCGGCCACTGCACTCCAGTCTGGGCAACAGAGTGAGACTCCAACTCAAAAAAAAAACAACAAAAAACATGAGTAATCCAGCCCAAGGTTCAGAACATAACCAAGGCAGTGTTACCCAATTTATGCTGATTTCACTGGGGGCAGGCCCTCTCTGCTTTGCAGGACAACTGAACTCATCAGTGTCTGCAACAGACTCTTATTGGCTACATCACATGACCCACCGTCCTTGAAGCCTTCCTGAAGCCTGACTCCTCCCCCACCCCATCTTTGAAAGGAGGCCATGCAATTAATTAGCTGCATTCGCTAGAATATGCTCAAAGACAAGGAGCTAATACCCATTGGGCATTTGCTGAATCTGCATCGTTAAGCCAATGACTATATATATACACACATATACGCACATGTGAGTGGTCCTTACTGGGACCCCTGTTTCACAGACAGAAGAAACTGAGGCCCAGAGAGCTTCAATGATTCAAACCAGAGTTTGAATCCATCTTTTCCCTCCAGATACTCTGTGCTTGGCCTCACTTTAAAGAGTTGGGGTGAGGTGAAAACCTCTTCAAAAAAAATCCACGGACAACCTAAACTTAGGAAGACCCAGCCTCATTTAGTTGTGCGTGTATGTAACGATCTTGACTGCTGCCTTAAAAGCTTGGAGGACAGGGCTAGGTGCAGTGGCTCATGCCTAAGATCCCAGTACTTTGGGAGGCTGAGGTGGAAGGATGGCTTGAGTCTAGGTGTTCAAGACCAGCTGAGGCAGTGTAGTGAGAATTTGTATCTCCAAAAAGCAAAACATTAGGTGGGGGGGGGGGTGACACATCTGTAGTCCCAGCTACTTGGAGGCTGAGGTGGGAGGATCGCCTGAGCCCAGGAGGTTGAGGCTGTGGTGAGCTACGATTGTGCCACTAAACTCCAGTCTGGGTGACAGAGCCAGACCCCAGCTCAAATCCCAGGCGACACAGAGTCGGCTGTCTCCAACTTGTGCTGCCCCTCCTGGTCATACTAGGTTTTATTGGGTCACATGGTCCTCTATAGTGGGGAGTTCACCTTGGCTTATCACAGCTTCTGTCGATCAAGGCTGGGCTTTAGTGCATTTGATTCAACTCCAAGTCCAAAAGGAAGGAAGGCGGGTGAGGAGTCATCAAAGAACAAGCGTTTGTGCCAGAACCAGACTGTCCTCTGAATGCTGATGGGATTATCTCACCTGGAAGCTTGTTAGATCCTCCTGCCTCAGCCTCCCAAAGAGCTGGGATTTTCACACACTCTTGCAATGTTCCTGTCCATTTCAACAAAGCCATAACCAATCGACCTACAGCTTGCCCCAAGGATTGGGATATCCTCCAGTGTCTTGGGGATTAACAAAGACTGATCATAATTTAAGAACTGACTACATCTAAAGTAGCCCAATTTACTTAACAATGGCCTGCAAGTGTGAAGTCTGTGACCATCGAGACATTAATAGCTAGAAAATACACTTGAAGATCTGAATGTCCTTGTTCTGAGTCATCCTGGAGAACAGAAAATTCCCGACACATCTAGAAAGCGTTTCTTATAAATAACACATTTTCAGAAGAAATTCAGAAAAATGCACATCGAATGGGTTGTTGATATGATGAGACCTTTCACATGTTAAAAAAGTCTGGTCAAGCCCAAACCCCCCAAATTCCCAATAATCATGACTGAGTGACCTAAGGCCTGGGATTCAAGGCTGTCTGACGTCTCTCTCAAGCAAGTCTTCAATGAAGACACAACGGCAGGAGGGTCTGAAGTGGCTGAGATTCAATGGAATTAATTTTTAAAAGAGAAAAAAAGGAGTTCAGGCTGTGGGAACTGAGCTGAGGATGGTTAGTTAGGCAGGTTCTCAGGCAGGTCAAATTCAGAACAGGATCGGCGTTCAGGCATCTCTCTCATCTGCACACGACCTTCTCCGGTCAACCAGGCAGATCAGACCTGACCCCCCTGTGGGGGGAAATGTGGGTCTATCAGCATGGCAAAACCCAGAAACAGCAGGGAATCACCCCAAAATAGACACAGTGTTCAAAGAAAAGCCCAAATCCAGTTAGACAGGAACTTCCACTATTTAGAAGATCCTTTTGATCTTAGAAGGTGAAGAGATGTTCATCAACACTCATGATCAGATACTTCCAGCACCTACCCTCTTAATTCAGGGTTTGCTTAACCATCAGTGTAAAATTATATAAAGCTTAGGGCCAAAGGCAAGCCCATGCCCTTTTTGCGAAGGAACCCATGTCTTCCTTTAGTATACCCCTTGTGTTTCTGATACATTCTTTCTTAAACTATACAGTAAGTCCCCTACATACGAATCCTCAAGTTACAAACTTTAATGATGCACACCTGCATTTTTTTGAGTAATATTTCTCTCCACCGTGTCAGTCCAGACTGTTAAATACATACAGTACTATATAGCTGACTGTGTTAATTGGGTACCTAGGCTAATTTGGTTGGACTGAAAACAAATTGGACTTATGAACATGTTCTTGGAAGGGAACTCGTTCATATGTTGGGGATGTCCTATACTTTGGATTTGTTCTGAAATTCTTTCCTGTGGTGAGGTCAAAGAACCCATGGAGCAATACGCACACCCTGACCAGCACCAGTCAGGAGGAAAAATATGCAGAACTCAGAGGCATGACCCAGAGTCGACAAAAGGCTTGAGGTACAGGCACCAGGAAGGGAAGTCACTTGAGGGCTCAAGAGCCAGGGCTCTTTCCATTTCTAAAGAGCACAGCCAGGCTTCCCATCAGCAAGCAGCACTGGGTGTGAGCAACTCGGGGGATAGGAGGGACACGGCCCTGGTACTCACCGGCCATTGTCGCGGCCCACGCCCCACACGCGGATGCTGGCGATGGGCTGGGAGTGCAGCACACTGCGGTCCATGGGGTCCAGCAGGCTGAGCGTGTCGTTCTCCAGGACCAGGTACATGTCTTTCCCCTGGAAGAACAGAAAGCATGGTCTGCTCCTGTGGGCACCACACCTCACCAGGCGTGGCCAGCCGGGATGTCATGGGGACGCTCAAGGGGGAGCTGCCTTCTGGGTCTGTCATTTGTTTTCCAAAGAGAGAAACATCTTTCCTGGTGGGAAATCATCATCACTTTCCACATGCCCCTCACATGCCCAACTTCTCTTTCCCATTCTGAGTTCTCAGAATGTGTCACAAGTCGGCTCTTTTAATTATTTATACTTCTGAGTCTTTTTTTTTTTTTTGAGTCAGGGTCTCACTCTGTTGCCCAGGCTGGAGGGCAGTGGCATGATCATAGCTCACTGCAGCCTCAACTTCCTGGGCTCAGGTAATCCTTCCACCTCAGCTTCCCAAAAAGCCAGGACCACCACACCTGGCTAATTTTTTTATTTACTGTAGAGATAATCATTTTGCCCAGGTTATCAAACTCTTGGGATCAGGCAATCCTCCTGCCATATCCTCCCGAGAAGCTGGGACTACAGGCATGCACCACCATGCCCTTTTAATTCTTTTTGTATATTTTGTAGAGACAAGGCCTCACTATGTTGCCCTGGCTGGTCTCAAACTCCTAGACTCAAGCAATCCTCCTGCCTCAGTCTCCCAAAATGCTGGGATTACAAGCATGAACCACTGCATCCAGTCGTGGTGACTTTACTTAGAAGGAAATTCTTCTAGCTCTGCTGCCTTGCCTGGGATCGAAGAGTCTGGTCAGGATATAACTCGGTCCTACTTTAAGGTAGACAGACTCCACCATGGAAGGGCTTGGGAACCTACTTCTCATTGTGACACTGGCTTAGAAGAAAACACAAGTGGTGTTCCAAATGGCCCACTCAAAAGGCAAACTTTTGGGAGCCGGTCCACGGTCAGCCTGAGCGTTAGGGATCCAGGCAGGCTGCAGACCCTGAGAACACTAGGATGAGTTCAGGAGCTGAAGGCCCATTCCCTCTTTCCTTCTTTGCTGTATGGCATGTTCCACTAGCAGGGACTTTGATGATCTAAGCATGAAGCTCTGAGAGTACGACAGGCATGGCTTACTTTAGGAGTCCATCGTTCCCGTTTCTCACAGACTGCGGTTTCGGCTTTAAACTTAACATAATTCAAACTCAGGTCACATTTGGGAGCCTTATATATGATACAAGCTTCTTTATAAGATTTAAAAGTATATTTGTAGAATTAGTATATACATGTAAAGTGCTGTTTCAACTTTAATAATATAGATAATTATTTAGGGTTACCAGAAATGGCCCAGCATGAAAGGTGGTCACATTCGAGGGCCCAGCACGTACTTTGGACTGGGCTGCATTCTTTAGGAATTGGTTTGGGCTATAATTAAGAGTTTCTATAGTGTAGGTAGAATTAGCATAAAATAGAGAGGAATTGAGATTTAGGTTGGTCATTAGGTGCTGTGTATGCATAAGTTTTAAAAGTTACTGATTATTAGAATATTATGATATTAGAATTGTTGTATTGCTTTTGAGAAATATTAACCAAGCATGAGGAACAGTGAGATAGTTTTGGGATCCTCCTCCCTCATGCTTGGGGAAACACCTGGTGGGTGGGGGACGCCCCTCATCCACCTGGCTCTATGTTCATGTAAATGTCTTATGATTTAATTGGGATTGCCCTTTCTCTTACTCCAGGAAACACCTGGTGGGTGAGGGATGCCCCTCATTCACCTGGCTTTGTGTTCATGTAGAAGTTTTGTGATTTAATTGGGATTGTTCTTCCTCGTGCCTGAGGAAACACCTGGTGGGTGGGGGGACGCCCCCTCCTGCGCCTGGCTTTGTGTTCACGTGAAAGACTTGTGAGACTGTCTGTGTAAAATTTGGGGGCAAATATCCGCTGTAAGTTCCAATAAATGGCTTCTGCTCAATCCGTTGAACAGTTGTCCACTTTCTTTCTTTCTCTTTCTTTCTCTTTATATCTATCCCTCCTACAGAATCGGCTTCTGCACTAGACAGAGTTCAGTCTCTTTCTTTCTCTTTATTTCTCCAGAATAATCACCGATGCCACCCCACCTTCCAGGGACCCTCTAAAAATCTCTGTGGGGGCTGGCCCCCCACAGCAAACCTTCTTCCCAGTGCTCTGTGAGCTGGGGACAGATGGAGTGGAGGGACCCGCGTACAAGTGCTATTCTAAGATGCTCCCACTATGCCTGTCCTGCCAGTCCAGAGCAAGGGAGGACCGCAGCGTCTCCTGTTGGGCGTGATTTTTATTCAAAGTTGATGCTTGTACTTAATACTTCGCTTTCTGAAATTATCTCAATTAACATTTCAAGAGGGAGTCACATGGTTAAAGTGAGAAAGGTTACATGAGGGGGATCCAAAAATAACCAGAATTTATTTAGAAAAAATTGTGCTTATTCTTACTTCTTTTTTTTTTGAGTTGGAGTCTCACTCTGTTGCCCAGACCTGAGTGCTGTGGCATGCTCACTGCCACCCCAACATTGACCTACTGGGCTCTGGCGAGCCTTCTACCTCAGCCTTCCAAGTAGCTAAATTATAGGTACGCGCTACCATGCTCGGCTATTTTTTTATTTTATTTTTTTGAAGAGACGAGATCTTGCCAAGCTGCCAGGGCTGGTCTCGAACCGACGGGCTCAGGTGATCCACTTGCCTTGGCCTCTTAAAGTGCTGGGATTACAGGCTGAGCCACCGAGCCTAGCATTCTTACATATTTAAACTTCAGTCACCTTCGAAGCACTCTCTGTGCAATACAAAATACAATAAAACGCCCATTGAGATGCTTTTTCCACTGATCAAAACAGTTTTTAAACTCGTCAATTTTGATGTCTTTCAGTGCTTCTGCTGTTTTTTATTTCACCTCTTCCACATCAGCAAAGCGTTTCCCTTTGAGGGCCTTTTTCAACCGGAGAAACAAAAAAGTCACTCAGGGCGAACTCGAGTGAATGTTGGGGGAGGCATGGAGGTCATGCCATTTTTGTCAAAAACTGCTGAACATTCAGCACGGTGTGGGCAGGTGGGTTCGTACATCATCTATGATGAAATGGGCAAATGCATTGAAAGAATTTCCCCTCCCCACCAAAAAATTCACTGAAGCAGTGTCTCACAACAACGCTAGCTGGTACACGGATGCCAATGGGTTCCTAGAACACTTACCTAGAGGGGGAAGCCTGTACTACAAGGAGCCTGCCCTCCAAAAGATAATTCCGTTTTTATGGATCCCTCTCATATAGGTATCAATCCCAGCATTCATGGATAATGCTTTCAGGCTGTGAACAAAGTGTGTCATCAAAGGATGCTCTATCAGCATCTGGCGCGGAGGCACCAACGTGTACGTGTGTACGTGTGTAAGCAAAGTCATCTTCCCCTTTGAGGAGAGGGGTCTTCTTCCCGGAAGCCTGTCCTTACAGACTGGCACACCCAACTCTGCATGCACATTTAGGGGGTTCTGGGTCTGTAAAGTTCACTCCCGGATCCCCGGGGCTTTGAGAATAGAGACCAAGAAACATCTTCTCCCAGAGCTCTGATCCTTGCTGGGACCTGGCCATGGCAAGAGGTCCGTGCCATGGGGCAACCGTGTCTACACTTCCTGCCTTTCGGTAAAAGACACCACAGAGCCCCCAGGGCTGAGTCTCCCCGAGTGGCAGGGTTTCATGAGATGGGAACAAGCCACTCCTCCTTCCACGAGCCACTCACCTCTCCCCAGATGCCCACGGTGTCCCGGATGTCGTTCTTGCAGTAGGACAGCTGCCGGATGCAGTTGTTGACAGCGACGCTGCTCTTTCCAGGGGCCAGGTCCTCCTCGGCCATCTCCACCCAACCCAGTGAGCGCACTGCAAAGCACTGGAAGACAGGGTGGGGGAGAAGGAGTCACTCGCTCAGTCGCTTCAGGGACTACCCCCATCCTCAGGCAGCTGCAAGGTCCTGGCCCCCACGCACCTTCAATTGCCTCATCACGTCAAATGCCTGATTCAACTAACAAATTTGGTGCGTCCTACTGCTGGGAAATGAAATTATAATTGTTTTTTGCTATTTTTTTTTTTTTTTTGAGTTGGAATCTCACTCGGTCGCCCAGACTGGAGTGCAGTGGTTGCTCCCGGCCACCATAGCCTCGACCTGCTGGGCTCCGGCGATCCTTCTGCCTCAGCCTTCCGAGTAGCTGGAATTACAGGCATGCACTACCATGCCCGACTGATTTTTTAATTTATTGTAGAGATGAGGTCTCGCTGCCCAGGCGGGTCTCGAACCCGTGGGCTCAGGCAATCCTCTCACCTCAGCCTCCCAAAGGCGTGGGATTACAGACCGAGCCACCGAGCCTGGCTTGTTTTTTGCTATTTAAAAACATGCAGGGATGCCTATCTCCTTGCCCAATTTGTATAGGTGTGTTTGGGTTTTCATACCAGAAGTATAATTCTAGGGCTAATGGTACACACATCCCTAAGCTCCTGTGAACTATCACAAGGCAGTTTTGTGTTTAAACACTAAGAAATGCAACCCCATGAGATCTGTTACTTGTTAAGTGCCTAGAAAATAGGAGAGAAAGAATGAAATGCATGTTAGGCACTTGTTTCTGATAACATCTAAGTGAAATGTTTTCTCTAACACCCAGAAAGGGAGGAAGGGGGGGTGCACTCTTGGTAACACAGAGGTCTTGATCCTGTAGCAATCCTGAAACGCTTGGAGAATTGACTGACTTGCAAGAGACCTCAAGATATAAATACCATGTATTCTTTTATCACCTGGAGATGTTTCATTTGAAATCACGTCTCTTAATTTCTTCTTCTTCTTCTTTTTTTACTTGAAGTCTCACTGTTGCCCAGACTGGAGTGTAGCAACACGATCACAGCTCACCACAGCCTCGACCTCCTGGGTTCAGGCAATCCTGCTGCCTCAGCCTCCCAAGTAATCTGGGACTACAAGTGCATGCCACCATGCTAGGTTAAGTTTTGGGGGGGGGGGGTTTGTTTGTTTTTAAAAATATTTTTGTAGAGACAGGGTCTCACTATGTTGTCTAGGCTGATCTCGAACTCCTGCACTCAAGCAATCCTCTCACCTTGACCTCCCAAAGTGCTGAGATTACAGGTGTGAGCCACCATGCCTGGCCCATTTGTTCTTCTTTTTAAAAGTTCTATGATTTAATTTTGTCTTTTAATTTAAAAATCATCCAGGTGCACTGGATCATGCCTGTAATCCGAGTGGATTAGGAGGCTGAGGCAGGAGAATCGTTTGAGGCCAAGAGTTTGAAAACAACCTGGATAACATAGCAAGACCTTGTCTCTACAGAGAAATTTTTTAAAAAAGTCAGGTGTGGTGGTGCATGTCTGTATTCCTAGCTACTCAGGAGGCCAAGACAGGAGGATTGCTTGAGCTCAGGAGGTCAAGGCTATAGTGAGCCATTATCATGCCACTGCACTCCAGTCTGGATGGCAGAGTGAGACCCTGACTCAAAAAAAAGAAAAAAAAGAGAAATCACAGTACATGTGACAGTGGCTTAGCTCCAGCACCTACCTTGCTACTGATCACCAGGATGGCTCGGTGGCCTCGACTGGGGTCCCTTACTCCTCCCTGCATCCTAAGCCCCTCCTGCCTCCCTGGTCCCACCTGAGCTGCCCATGGGTTGCAGAGACCCCCTTCCCAGGTTAGGAAGGGCAGACACAAGGTCTCTCTTCCCCTGGAACCAACAGACTGGTGCTCAAGAGACATCTTGCAAAGTCTCCAAAAGAAGCTTCCTAATGAAAGGAAGAAATGCAGCAATGTGTCCTAGGGACCCCAGTCAGCCCAATTCAACTCTCCCCATCCCAGTCAGACCGGGCATGTCCACCCTGAGCTGCTGATCATACCTTCTTGGGAAAAAAACCCACCAAAAGACCCAAGATAGAAACAGCCCATGGATGCACACGGTATGCTGACCTCGCAACCTGGAGAAGGCCAGTGACCCCTGAGGTGGCTGCCCCAATCGTGACCATGCGACCTTTCATAAATAAGCCCCAGAGAGAAGGCCATTCCTGTGATGGCCACAGAAGCCATGCAGGACTCTGACCCTCGGGGAAGGCGCTGCCATGTGGACACACTGCAGGGAAGCCATCTGACACACTGGGAGCTGCCCGGGTGCCAACCTGGCTCTGGCCAATTCAGGGTTCGCATGTCCTGGCTGCCTCCCTGTCCCTCCAGCTCCCCTCCATCAGCTCAGACCCAAATCTGTCTCCAGGTGGATGTGCTGACGTGCCACAGAGCATGCCACCAAATATCCATCAAAGCCCACAGCGTCAGCCAGGAGCAGTGGCTCATTCCTGTAATCCCAGTACTTGGAGAGGTGGAGGCAAGAGGATTGTCTAAGCCCAGAAGTTCGAGACCAGCTGGGCAACTTGGCGAGACCTCGTCTCTTCAATGAAAAAAAAAAATTAGCCGGGCGTAGTGGTATGCGCCTGTAGTTCCAGCTACTTGGGAGGCTAAGGTGGAAGGATTGCCTGAGCCCAGCAGGTAGAGGCTGTGGTAGCCATGAGCTTGCCACTGTACTCCAGCCTGGGTGACAGATTGAGACTGTGACTCAAAAAAAAAAAAAGACAAAATAAATAAAAACTCCACAGTGTCAGGAACTGAGTCCCTAAGTACCCATCCCTGCTATGTCCCCAGGAAGCACTGAGCACCCTCCAACCTCTCTCCTGTGTTGGATCCCAACACACACTCTGTTCAGTAGAGTCACAACATCTCACCGACTCCCCCAGCTTGCCATGTCAACCTTGTCACCCACCACCACTGAAATGTCAATCATTCGCCCAGTTCACACTCACCTCGTCCCTCTGCTGTCAACACTGACTGCACCCATTTCACAGAGGAGGAGCTGAGCAGAGCATGAAGCAGCTCAGCGGTGGTCCTGGCATCCGAACTCAGGCACTCTTACCCTCCTGGCTGCAAGACTCTGGGATTTTCCTGGAGGGACAGTCAGGTGGGGCTGGGCCCACAAAGAAGGCTCCAGAGATAGCCAGCGAGCTCAAGAGTGGGGCCAGCCTGGATCTTGAGCTCGGCTCTGAGGTGCAAGGACTGTGAGCACGGGCAAGGCTTTTATTCCATTCCAAGTTTTTTCATTTGTAAAAATGGGAGTAGAAATCATCGTGACCTTGGAGGGTTTTCATGAGGAGGAAACATTCTAATTTAGGAAGAGAACTAGGCACAGAAAAACACTTGCAGAGCATTTGTTGAACGAATGAGCAAATGCACACAGTGCTGCGTAAATCCTACACGGAGTCTTCAAAGGGGAAAAATAAAAGGGAGGTGTGTCATTAGGGTGACCACACGTCCCCATTCTCCCCACGATAGCTCTTCCGTGTGCAAAATTATTATTATCATTATTTCTTTCTGAGTTCTTACTCTGTCACCTAGGGGGAATGCAGTGGCATGATCATGGCTCTCTGCAGCCTCGAACTCCTGGGCTCAGGTAATCCTCCCACCTCAGCCTCCTGAGTAACAGGGAGTATAGGCACAAGCCACTAAACCCAGTGCTAAATTTTTTTTTAGAGATGGAGTCTTGCTCCGTTTCCCAGGCTGGTCTCAAACTCCTGGCCTCAAGTGATCCTCCCACCCTGGCCTCCCAAAGCACTGGGATTACAGGCATGAGCCACCAGGCACAGCTCAGTGTGCAAAATGATAAAGAGCAGGTCCTTTTATCCTCAAAAGTGTCCCAGTTAGACAATACATTGTGGAATCACCTAGTCAAAATTCTAGTGAACTTGGCCTCCGGCATGGAAACTTGGACAAGGGAATGGTGCTCTGCCCACTTGGAAACTGGTTTCTAGATCAGCAGACGCTGCCATAGGCCGAGCACCACAGTGATCTTGACACCAGTCCTCCTGTGGATGGTCACCTACACTTAAGGCAAAGGCAGAAACCTGCTTTCCCACCGTCTTCAGCTGCCTGCCACAGAATCCCACAACCTATGGGCACTCCCTCCCAGAAGGAAGGTGAAAGAGAACTCTGCCTGCTTCCTGTTCCTTGAGTCCATGAATACATGGATTTCAACCTGAACTAAAAATCAAGAGTCTCACTCTTAGCTGAGAAATGCAAATCACCCAACCTCACCACAGCACACGAAGAATTTCATTTTGTGACTGGGCACAGTGGCTCACGCCTGTAATTCCAGCACTTTGGGAGGCCGAAGTGAAAGGACTGCCTGAGCCCAGGAGCTCAAGACAGCCTGGACAACATGGCAAGATCTCATTTCTACAAAAAAATTTAAAAAGTAGCCAGGCATAGTGGCGTGCACCTGTAGTCCCAGCTACAGGGGAAGCTGAGGCAGAAGGACCGTCTGAGCCTAGGAGGTTGAAGCTGTAGTAGCCATGATCGTGCCACTGCACTGTAGCCTGCAACAATAGAGTGAGACTCTGACTCAAAAAAAAAATCATTTTGTCATGCTGATAAAAAGAACATTCAAGCCTGAGCTGTTATTATAATGAGTTTATTTGACATAATGTTCCTTGTGCAATCCTGCTGCTGTTTTAATTTGGGTTCTGATTGGAGAAGTTTTGCCACCACTCCACGTGGCCAGGGTAAAAGGAAGCAGGTGTGTGTGGAACCCTGAACAGCCCAGGTACCTCCCTGGGCATCTTCCCAAGGTTGGGACCCTCAGAGATCACCTGTACTGTTCGGTGCTGCCCCCTTGTGGCCAGCACGGTTTATAACCATCACCGCTTTCCCTCAAGTGATGCTCTGGTCAGCTCTGAGAATAAAGGTTCGCGACATGGGACACGTTTGAAATAGTTCATCAAGTCACCTGCCTAAAAAAACTGTGATAAAAAATGCATAACATAAGATTCACCCTCTTAACCATTGTTATTCATTTAGTTTTT